TAATAATAATAATTTACCCTCTCTGTCTCTTCTCCTTCAACTGATTTCTTCACGAGTTCCCAATCCTCACGAAATTCGAGATGCCACGACCCTTCTTCCTTCTTCTGCTGCTCCATCCTGCGTTTTCAGCATTCCACAGTCACTATAAATTATTTTTATATAATCTAATCCATATAATATAATTATTAAGTATGATACCAGTAGTTTACACATATTCAATGCTTCTTCATCTTTATCCATTCCAGAGTTCAATGGATATTAGAGAAAATTAGAAGAATAAAAAGGAGGAGTTAGTTGAAGTCCTTAATCAAGTGTTCATGAAAAGATGAGAAAATTTAAGATAGCAAAGTTTCATACTTCCTTGTCTCCTTTCAAGGGACCAGAACGTTGTGAGTAGTAGCACGATGCCAAAAAAAATTTTGAAAGTTGCTGGGTCGTGTAACTTGTAACCTCTCTCTGCACTTTCTCAATCATGATGAACCAAAACCAACACTCACAGAAAAATTAAAAAAATAAAATAAAAAGAGAAAAAGTGGTTTCTGTTCAAAACAAATAAAAAAGAAAGAAAGAAAATTCTGATCATAGCAGAAGCATAGTACTGACATTTGGGAAATCGAAGCAAAAGAATCTCTCGGCGCCATGCATGCATCCTCAGGTGGTTTTTCTTTTCTTTTTCAGTTTTATGAACTTTAGAAAAATTTTAATTTCAGCTTTTGATTTTATTACAGATGATATTGCTGTGGCAGCAGCTTCTTACACTTACATGGTGCGAACCAAAAATAAAATAACAAAAAGTTACTTCTTACAAATTTTCCCTTGATAACAAAAGAAGGGAAAACAAAAATACTTCATAAAAAAGGGAGCCTCATCCGATATTTTCTCTTTTATATTTTAATTTTTTAATTTCGGAACTAAAAAAAAAAAAGAAAAATAACAAAAAAGATTTCTATGGTTTGTCCTTGAGAAGAGAGGCCAATCCGGTAACCACCTTGGTCCCTCTCTCGACGCTCTTCGGCTTCACCGCTGGCGGTTGCCACGCCGTGGTAGGTGATGGCGACTCCGCCTTCTCCTTGCCGGAATCAGCCTCGGACTCGGACTCGGTCTCGTTCTTCGGCGGTGACTCGCTGAAGATCAGCTCCAACTCACCGCAATCGCTCTCCCTCGACGCTGCATCACCGGAGTACATTGTTTCCGGTGGAGCTACGGCGACTTGCACGGAGGAGGACGGGGGTTGCTTCTCCCTAACGCTGGACGGAGAGAGCCACTTTGCGAGCATGTAATCGCGCTTCCTCCAGGGCGGAACGTGCATTCCTTTCTTCTTCAAACTCTGCTTTGCCGCTTCGGAGACAATCGCCACGATCTGCTTCAGTCTCTCAGATTTTCCAACGAAGATGAACGGCAGCGATTGAAGAATTGCCTTGTAACTTCCCGTGGATCTCGCCACCTCAAACTCGGATCGAAAATCGACATCCACGATCAACCGCTCACCTTCCACAATCGCATCTATGAATTCATATTCACCTAAACCAAAGACGCAAACACACTCAGTCGGCCAAATTCAAATTCAACTCCAAATCCAAACTCAAATTGAAATTCACAGTAAATTAACAGTACCAGCAGGACACGACGAAGTTTTCTCCCATTTCGATTTGCAGATGGAAGAATCGTAACCGAGAGCGGAGGAAAGTGCTTCCGCGACTACCTTTATCAGATCGTCTTTCCTCTTAAACAACTTGCCGTTTTTCTCCACGATTCTAGCCACGTCAGCTAACAGGTTCCTCTCGCCTACACTCGCGCAGGGGATCAAAGTCTGCTCATCACAAAATCAAAATTGTCATAAATCAAAGAAACTGTGATAAATTAAAATAAAATTGGACTATAATTGAGATTGATTATCCACCTTGAGAGATTCAGCGGCGTCGGTACTGGATGATTCTGGTGGCGGTGCACCAAAGAGATCGAAATCGTCTTCGTCGGAGCTATTTGCGTTGAAGCAGTTGCAGCGGTTGCGACCGCATTTCGGTGCCGGAGGTTGTTCCTCCATGAAATTCTGCACCATTTTCGCCAAGCACACCGAGCTCGGTTCGAACTCTGTTGCTACATCTTTGTTGTTCTTCGGTAACTGACGGTCAAAGACGAACAACCGTTTCAGACGCGACTTCAACACTGACTCGTTCCGAACCACCACCGCGTCCTTCACCTTCTCGGAATCGATGTCGATTGCAATCGGTTGAACCTTCATCGGAGCCATGCGTTTCTTCTGCTACTCTGTTTNATTTGTAATCCATTATGCAAAGTTTTTTTAGTGGCTTTAAATGGGTTCTGACAAATAATCTGAAGAAAAATGTCAAAATAAAATATTGTTATTGAATAAAATTATAAAATTAGTAAACATAGTTATATTATATAGGCTTAATTACCTACTTAGTCCCCATGTTAGGAGGTAATTTTCTGTTTAGTACCCAGTTTTAAAAATGTAGGCATTTGGTACCTATGTTTTGAAATTTGTATCAATTCAATCTTATCCAGTTAACGGCGTTATAATTGATGCGAGAAATTAAGGACGTTAATGAAGATGCATTCAAACATTTGATAGCTATTCCACCCAGCTGGATAAGATTGAATTTATACAAATTTCAAAACATAGATACCAAATGTCTACATTTTTAAAACTGGGTACTAAACAGAAAATTACCTCCTAACATGAGGACTAAGTAGGTAATTAAGCCATAATAAAAAGTGTATTTGAAAGAATGATTCATAATGATAATTATACATAGCTATGATAAGAGAAGATGCATTATGGATGATGGATGTGAGAGTGGATCCACATCCATATGGTATGATGTTATGATATGGTATGATGATATGAGTGGCAATAAAGAAAGAAAAGAGGAGCTTGTGAGAACAAAGGAGACATGTCAAATCAACATAGGATAAAGGCTTTTCACTTTGTTTTCTTTTTCCTCAAACTCCCACTGCTTCTCTCTCCCAAACTCTTCTCCAGGTTAGGCACCATAAATAAATATTTTTAGTATTTAAAATTAATAAAAAGATATATTTTGATGTATAAAATATTAAAAAATTGCATAATAATTAAGAGAAAGTAAAGAAGAAAGGGTGGTATATATTTCGTGTGGGTTGGGCAAAGGGTTGTAAAAAAATAAAAAATCCACTTCCTAAGTAACCTTTCTCTATCGAATGGGCTACAACCAAACAAACCAACATTAAACTAAAAATTAAAACCAATTCTTATGTTAGAGGTTAGGTGTGGGGTTGCTTTCATCACCCTATTTATCAGTTTATGTCTATTTATTATTGCAAACTTTAAAAAATACATTTTTTTCTTTTAATTTTCAATGGTGATGTTTATTGTTTTTAAAAGTTTTGAAGGCAGAAGGAAAAGGACCCTATTTTTTGCTCTGACAGGAGAGCTTTGTGATGGGCCCACTCGCTTTATAAATGAGTTTTGCAATATTAGTAATATCATAAATAAATGCCTATTTTCTTCAAATATTATATACTGCAGTTGGGCATCGCAATGGATTACTGGGGCCCACTGCAATCATTGTGAATTATTTATGTTTAGTTCACAAGAGTCTCCTAAATTCCTAATCCTATCATGAGAGAAAGAAATAAACATACAAGCTATCTCAACTTATGAAAATTAAATAATAATTTACAAAATAATAACTGGTTAAATTATCTGGTTATTACTCTTTGAATTTATAGAAAGATATAACATTGATAAATTCTCCGTCTTATGTGAGTTATCTTATATTTTGTATTCTCTATTTTTATAACTTGTTGTATACTTTCTTTTTTATTACTATATAGAAATATATTTCTCCTTTCTGATTAATATGTGCCCAAAGTCAAGTCACAGTGACCACAATCAAATTTTTCATTAGTCAAAGTAACTGCTCACCTAATCTGAGTTTCCTTTTCTTTTTGTTTTTTTACAGAAACTGTGGATTCAAAAAACAATTCAAAAATATATTTTTCCTATTTCTTAATTATTGAAAAAATTTGAAAAACTTTTTAAAATTTTAAGGTATTAAAACAGTATTTATTTATTTTTTTTGTTGGTAGTGGCTTGTAGTATGTATGAGTAACAGTATCGGAAATAATTAGGCATATTCTGTCAGGTTTCATTTAAAGGGCATTGCTTGGTGAGAGAAAGGAGCAGAGATTTTCACTTTTTCACTTTTCCTCTTTTGCTTTTGATGTACTCCAAAAGATTTTAAGATAAAATAAATAAGAAGAAAGAAAATTATTTTTAATGTACCAAATGCAATAATAATAATAATAATAATAATAATAATTTACCCTCTCTGTCTCTTCTCCTTCAACTGATTTCTTCACGAGTTCCCAATCCTCACGAAATTCGAGATGCCACGACCCTTCTTCCTTCTTCTGCTGCTCCATCCTGCGTTTTCAGCATTCCACAGTCACTATAAATTATTTTTATATAATCTAATCCATATAATATAATTATTAAGTATGATACCAGTAGTTTACACATATTCAATGCTTCTTCATCTTTATCCATTCCAGAGTTCAATGGATATTAGAGAAAATTAGAAGAATAAAAAGGAGGAGTTAGTTGAAGTCCTTAATCAAGTGTTCATGAAAAGATGAGAAAATTTAAGATAGCAAAGTTTCATACTTCCTTGTCTCCTTTCAAGGGACCAGAACGTTGTGAGTAGTAGCACGATGCCAAAAAAAATTTTGAAAGTTGCTGGGTCGTGTAACTTGTAACCTCTCTCTGCACTTTCTCAATCATGATGAACCAAAACCAACACTCACAGAAAAATTAAAAAAATAAAATAAAAAGAGAAAAAGTGGTTTCTGTTCAAAACAAATAAAAAAGAAAGAAAGAAAATTCTGATCATAGCAGAAGCATAGTACTGACATTTGGGAAATCGAAGCAAAAGAATCTCTCGGCGCCATGCATGCATCCTCAGGTGGTTTTTCTTTTCTTTTTCAGTTTTATGAACTTTAGAAAAATTTTAATTTCAGCTTTTGATTTTATTACAGATGATATTGCTGTGGCAGCAGCTTCTTACACTTACATGGTGCGAACCAAAAAAAAAATAACAAAAAGTTACTTCTTACAAATTTTCCCTTGATAACAAAAGAAGGGAAAACAAAAATACTTCATAAAAAAGGGAGCCTCATCCGATATTTTCTCTTTTATATTTTAATTTTTTAATTTCGGAACTAAAAAAAAAAAAGAAAAATAACAAAAAAGATTTCTATGGTTTGTCCTTGAGAAGAGAGGCCAATCCGGTAACCACCTTGGTCCCTCTCTCGACGCTCTTCGGCTTCACCGCTGGCGGTTGCCACGCCGTGGTAGGTGATGGCGACTCCGCCTTCTCCTTGCCGGAATCAGCCTCGGACTCGGACTCGGTCTCGTTCTTCGGCGGTGACTCGCTGAAGATCAGCTCCAACTCACCGCAATCGCTCTCCCTCGACGCTGCATCACCGGAGTACATTGTTTCCGGTGGAGCTACGGCGACTTGCACGGAGGAGGACGGGGGTTGCTTCTCCCTAACGCTGGACGGAGAGAGCCACTTTGCGAGCATGTAATCGCGCTTCCTCCAGGGCGGAACGTGCATTCCTTTCTTCTTCAAACTCTGCTTTGCCGCTTCGGAGACAATCGCCACGATCTGCTTCAGTCTCTCAGATTTTCCAACGAAGATGAACGGCAGCGATTGAAGAATTGCCTTGTAACTTCCCGTGGATCTCGCCACCTCAAACTCGGATCGAAAATCGACATCCACGATCAACCACTCACCTTCCACAATCGCATCTATGAATTCATATTCACCTAAACCAAAGACGCAAACACACTCAGTCGGCCAAATTCAAATTCAACTCCAAATCCAAACTCAAATTGAAATTCACAGTAAATTAACAGTACCAGCAGGACACGACGAAGTTTTCTCCCATTTCGATTTGCAGATGGAAGAATCGTAACCGAGAGCGGAGGAAAGTGCTTCCGCGACTACCTTTATCAGATCGTCTTTCCTCTTAAACAACTTGCCGTTTTTCTCCACGATTCTAGCCACGTCAGCTAACAGGTTCCTCTCGCCTACACTCGCGCAGGGGATCAAAGTCTGCTCATCACAAAATCAAAATTGTCATAAATCAAAGAAACTGTGAAAAATTAAAATAAAATTGGACTATAATTGAGATTGATTATCCACCTTGAGAGATTCAGCGGCGTCGGTAATGGATGATTCTGGTGGCGGTGCACCAAAGAGATCGAAATCGTCTTCGTCGGAGCTATTTGCGTTGAAGCAGTTGCAGCGGTTGCGACCGCATTTCGGTGCCGGAGGTTGTTCCTCCATGAAATTCTGCACCATTTTCGCCAAGCACACCGAGCTCGGTTCGAACTCTGTTGCTACATCTTTGTTGTTCTTCGGTAACTGACGGTCAAAGACGAACAACCGTTTCAGACGCGACTTCAACACTGACTCGTTCCGAACCACCACCGCGTCCTTCACCTTCTCGGAATCGATGTCGATTGCAATCGGTTGAACCTTCATCGGAGCCATGCGTTTCTTCTGCTACTCTGTTTTTCAGAGCTTCTAATAATTTTTTTCTCCAAAAAACAAAAACCAAACCCTATTCAACACACATTCACCCTTCTAACTTCCTACACCAGTCAATAATAAGTCACGGATTGGGCGTGTTCTTCATGAGAGAGGACAGGTTAAAAGAAAAAAAAAAGAAAAAGAAATTTAATTCGTAATGTATGTACGGTTTTCTTTTCTTCTAGGCTACGAGAGTGAAGGTTTCAAGGTGAGGGTTTTCATGAAACACGTGGCGACGGTGGTCGGAGAGACGCAGCAGTTGGTTATCGAAGGGGAGCTTTGCGTCGCCGGAGTGTTCATTCTCCGGCGGTTGAAGAAGAAGAAAGGTTTTTTTAATAATATTTTTTTTTTTGTTTTTCTTTTTGTGTTTGAAAATTGTTCTGGATTAGGTGACTTGGTGGGATTGGATGGATTTATAACGAGTCAAGGGTTGCTGCATGGACATTCTCAGGCCACGTGTTCCGACGTGGCACCAGTCGTTTGGGACATGAAGTTTGATAAGCCGCACCAGTGTGCACGGAAGGTTCTCGACCCCGAACGACGCGTGGTAGAATGATTGCCTCAACTGAGCCTGTGTGAAGTTACCGTTCAGCCATTGACTGTAAGAAAAAAACACCCACTTTCATTCATTCATTAATGATTGATTAATCATGCTACTTTTTTTTCAAAAGAAATTAAAATTATATAATTTTTAAAGAGAAAAAGAAAAGCTAATGATGCGTGAGAGTGGAGAGATGGAGATCTTTATGGCGTGTATGTGAAGTCCATGCTGTCATAGATGTTTGCGCCTAAAGTTTTCGACACGTGTCCATGAAAAATAGTTATATACTATATTTTTTATTTATATATCCATATACAATTAAATAATTGTAATTAAATAATTGTAATTAATGATTAGAAGGCATCAAATTTATTCATGTCACTGGCATACTATATAACATACATAATACTTATATTATAAAAAAAAAACTATTAGAGTAATGGTCGGACATGTATAAACGATCCAACATAATAGATAATCATGAAGCTAAAATAAATTTAAGATCTATTTGATATGTTATGAGCAAAGATTGAACGATTTATCCCAAAAATATTCTTACTAAAAAGATATTAAAAAGCAGGTTTACATATAAGTATTAGTTAGTGTTATGGATTGAGGTTGGACTGTGATTAAGGTTTGATTAATCTTAGCTCACTTTAAAAACTATAAATAGAGCTTGGTAAGAGGTAAGTGGTCGCATTTACTGTACATTTAAAACTATTCTTCTGACCCTGTATGAACTATTTCCTCACTTAAGCATTAAAGTGTCTATGGCAGATACTTGAACGATTTTGGAAGAAAATTATTAAAGTATGTATAATAGTTACTTGAACCTACATCCAAAACTATGTTAATAATATATTTTATTTTATCTCTTCTTTTTAGCATCATTTATCTTAAGTGATATAGAAGAAGAAAGATAAAAATTGGTACAAATAATAATATATATAGTCAATGTTATTTAAATTTTTATTTCCTTAATATTCATATATAAGTACAAGGTAAGGTCTTAGAATATATTTAAATTTTTATAAATGAGAGTTTAAATAAAGTGGTTTCATTAATATATGATTTATAAATATATTGTGCTTTGTTACATAATTTAGTTTATATTTTTTTATAAGGCATTGC